CTCCAAAGAGGCCTCTCCCCATACCTGAAAAATAGTTCACAGTCACCTGTTCCTCAGTGACCCTTTGTCTCCCAGAATGCCTTGCTTTTTACTTAAACATCTAAGATGGAACTTTTATTCTGGGGGATCTTTATAAATTAAGCAGAGATGCTCGGCATACTGCTCCTTACCCCAACAAGCCCAAGAAACAGAGTTCTGAGCTTATACAACATGCTTCTGTCAGAGGAACCACACACTACAATTTAATAGGAGGCACACATGAAATCTTCGCACAATCACTAAAGGACTATTTTAGCAAAAGTCGGGCCAGCATAATGCATTACAGCCCTACCTGTGCTACTTAAGAGCTGTGTTACTCTTCTGAATCTTGATTTCCTCATGTGTAAACTGTAGGTAACATTTCCTACCTCAGATGATTGCTATGAAGATGGACTTAAATGAAGAAGAGCACTTTTTAAACTATAAAGTGCAATAGAACTATGATTTATTGTGTTTCTCAAAAATAAATGGTCAATGCCTTATATATTTTTATTTCTCTTCCTAATCATAAAGACTTATTCTACCCCACTTGTAAATATCCCTTACTTTGTGCTTCAAGTTTAAAAGAATAATATAAGCCCTTAAATATGTGTAGCCATTGACAATTGGGGAAGTAATTGTCCAACAATATGTGAATGATTGACTCACTTTACAAAAACTACATGATAACCAGGAACAATACAAGGAAAAACCTGAGAGAAGTGCCGTTTAGAGATAATCACAATTATATGTATTAAACTAATATAATGGCAAATGCACAGAAGGCACTTATCACAATACTTGGTACAATTTAAGTGCTCAATAAATGTTATCTATTATATTATAACAATCTCTGAAAAAGTGCATAAAGAAAATCTGTAAGAAGATGTAGCAAAAATTAACAGCGGGTTGTACTTCTTTAAAGAATAGTGAATTTTTAAACAAATTCACTAATTAAAAAAAAAAGACAAAGCCTACTCAAGTTCACCCAGCTGCACTGCTGATAAGTAGTGGAGCAAGGTTTCAAATCCAAGTTTCCTGATTCCAAATTCAGGATTCTTTGTATGACATCAGGCTGCCTCATTGACTTCACTTTTGTTTACTGTCTAGATGCTTAATGTAGATACTTAATTCAATTTCATGTATTTATTATACCAAAGTCCTCAGATAGAAACATCGATGGGTTTAGCGAAAGGTAGGCAATGAAGCATGTTGTAAGTATTTTCCACAAAGATGAAGAGCTGGAGTTACCTGATCCCAGACACTAGAGGCAAGTCTTCCTGTTTATGAATAAGAGGAATAAATACAACAACCCCCACTAACATGTATGGAGGGAAGATCCCATCTCCACCTACCCTCTTAACCACTATAAACAAAGACATCTTGAGTACATTCCACTAAGAAGCCACTTCATTGTCATCATAGCACACTTTTTTGAGACTCCATAGAGTGTCAAGATGTTCTCCTTGGTTCTGGCTTAATGGATCGCTTCTAAAAGGGTACATACAATTTCTTTAAAAAGTCCTTTCCCAGAGGTTCAGGAAAGAAAGACAGTGAGAAGAGGAGACAAAATTGAGATAAACACAATCCTGTGTTTATAGCTATTGAGACAAATAAAGCTCCTGGATAAGCTGGGATGGAGGCCTGGGTCTTAACTGGGTCTATTTAGGATATTCTTAATGTTTTCAGCTATCTGGGACTCAGCTGGCATTAATGGTTGAATCTTTCTCCTTCTGGCCTCTCTATTCATAATCTCCAGGTCCTCTGACCAAAGTGCCTTCAAACTCATTTTTCTAACTTTACTGAATAATATATCTGATCAATTTAGAACATCACGAATCAGCTCACCTGAACTAATTCACATGCCATTCCATGAAAAAAAAATGCCTTTACTGACTCAATGTTATTTAAGCTACTATAAAAGGCAAGACTATAGAAAACAAGCATGTCAGGATTACTCTCCTTTTTGAAAAGTTACTTATGAAGATAGTATTTGGACCCATATCTAAAACAATCTACTCATCACCTCTGTGGATGCTCTAATGGATACCTCAGACACATTTTTCCCAAAATTGTACTCAACAAGTTCTGTAAAAAGTGAATGATAAGATTATTGGCAGGATAAAGTGAAATTGTGTACACCAAGTTTCTTTTACAATGTTTGGCATATGGTGGTTTCTCGACAAAGTAGAATTATTTTATTCTACACCTGGGAATGGTGGCCCAGTCAACCCATAAGTTCCCCAAGACAAAGCCCAGGAGTTGCCCTAGAGTCCTTTATCCGCTATGATTAAATACAAAAACCCACCAAGCCTAGATATGTCAGTTATCAGCTTATTGCCTCTCAGTTCTAAATGCATCCATTGTACATGTTCTGTGATAAACCACATAATTCTTTTAAGCATGTTTTCTTTACAGTATGAACCATGTCATGTTTTTTTTTAGTAGAGAGTGCTAGACAGATGGAGAAGGAAGAAGATACATTTGTCATTTCCAGCTTGGGCTGGGTGTCCACAGTGTAGGTTTGAGAAGAGTCAATGGCTTCTGCCCCAGCCAAGGGTCCAGACTACTGCCCCTCTACAACCTTGCTGCCTCTGCTTGGCCTCTGCTTTCCTCAGCCACCTGCTCAGTGTTCATCCATGCATCAGTGAAAAAGGTGATTTTTATTTTTTTTGCTGAATTGGATAATAGTTGATAATTATTTTTGAATGGTGGGGGAATATTTCCTTAATATTTTTTGTGCTGCTACAATATCATAGCCACAGAGATGACACACTTGTATATTTAATCTGCATTCTTAACATATTCTCATTACTCTCTTAAGTTTAGACAATCAAAAAAGTAAATCAAGCTCTGGTTTCTGGAATTTGCTTATTCCCTTTGTGTAATCACTGCCACCAGGATTAATTCCAAGCTGCCAACGTGACATCACTGAATTGCAGTTGGGAAGAGATGTGCAGTTGTACCATCATATAGTATTTCCATCACACAAATGTTATAGGCAGAAATAACACAAAGAGCGTATGTAACAGTAAAATAATCAGAAAGTGAGGAGTTTTGAGTATATTATCTTTGTTTTAAATTTAATTTATTTGGTTAGAAACTTTATATAATTTAATATTAATAATTAACAACTGACTCTCAAAATTTCTGAAACTGTACCATTCACCTCTTATGAGCCGCTGTGAACCAGCCCTGGCATGCCACTGGATCAGACCTTCTTCATTCCAGGTACAGGGATTACTGAGCTGTTCTGCTGGAATTGCTAGTGATCATGTTACCAAGACAGGAAACTCACTGAACCAATTAAGCATCTGAAATGGAGTTCTGATTTCATTCTCCATTTAATATTATGGATTCTGCAGAAGAAAAGAGGTGTCTCTTTCCCTTATTATATGAATACTAGAGGCCCGGTGCACAAAATTCTTGCACAGGATGGAGGGGTCCCCTCAGCCCAGCCTGCACCCTCTCCAACCGGGACCCCTCAGGGATGTCCGACCTCTTACAATCCAGAACTGCTGGCTCCTAACCGCTCATCTGCCTGCCTGCCTGATCACCCCTAACGGCCTCTGCCTGTTTTGCCTGATTGCCCCTAACTGTCCCTCTTGCCAGCCTGATTGCCCCTAACTGCCCCCCACCCCCTACTGGCTTAGTTTCCCCCAACTGCTTCCCACTGCTGGCCTGGTCAACCCTCACTACCCCCCTGCCAGCCTGGTCACCCCCAACTTCCCCCCCACCGCCAGCCTGGTCACCCCTAACTGCCTCCCCTGTTGGCCTGGTCGCCCATAACTGCCCCCCCTGCCTGCCTGGTTGCCCCCAACTGTCCCCCCCCCATGCTGGCTTGCTCGTCCCTCACTACTCCCCCTGCCAGCCTGGTTGCCCCATGCAGCCTGCTATTCAGTTGTGTGGTTGCCCCTCACTGCCCCCCCCCACCAGCCTGGTCACCCCACACAGCCTGCTCTTCAGTCATTGTGTGAGGGCATCCCGACCAATTTGCACATTCCTCTATTATTAGTATAGATTTTACATATCATTGTAAAGGCAATGGTGTTCCTAATATTTTCCTGGTGGGTGAAGAAAAGGTCACTCAGACACTAGAGTTCCAGGGCAGCACAGCGAAGTAACTACCTTCATGGTGTCATCTGCAATGAAAGCCCTTAGAGATACTTTAAGATTTGGAGCAAATGGAGCAGTTATTAAAGTGATAGGGACTTAAGTTTTAACCTTGGTTTTTTGTTTTGTTTTGCTTTAATATATTTTTGTATTGATTTCAGAGAGGAAGGGAGAGGGAGAGAGAGATAGAAATATCAATGATGAGAGAGAATCATTGACTGGCTGCCTCCTGCACACCCACTACTGGGGATTGAGCCTGCAACCCAGGCATGTGCCCTTGACCAGAATCAAACCCGGGACCCTTCAGTCTACAGGCCGACGCTCTATCCACTGAGCTAAACCAGCTAGGGCAACCTTTGTTTGTTTGTTTGTTTGTTTGTTTAATTCTAATTGGACAGGTGGCCTGTTTTTCTATTCTGCATGATTTTCCGGTGTGTTTTTTTTCTGCTGATATTGTACACAAGATAAAATTCAAACTGTATATGTTGACCTCATTTATCCTCTTTCCTAATCTTCCTTTCTATTCTACCCAGAGTGGGATGGTTAGTAGCCTTATGTGGTTGAAGAGAGTCAGAGATTGGAACCAGAGAGTTCAGTTAGGAAGCAAATGCAATAGTCCTTGAGATCAATTATGAGAGCCTGACCTAAGGTAGCAATAGTGATGGCTGAGTGAAGTGATGAGCCTGGGAAACAGTTGTCATACCATCATCATGGGGCACTATGAAACTTTACTTTCTAACTGGATATGTCAATTATCTTGCATGACAACCAGAAGAAATTCTTCCACAGATCCATCTCCTATTCTGTTATAGAGGTGTCAAGAAAAATGCTAGATTTCCACTTCCCTTCACTGCGTCATAACTACTCACTCTGTCAAGAGCCAGAAACCTTGAATTTTCTCTCCAGAAGTCTTGGCTATGTGGCCTTTCAAGTCTTCCATGGCAGTCTCAATGGTCCCCGGCTGAGTGGGAAAAAGAAAATACCTAGTTTAGAGAAGACTGAATCCTCTTTGTGCTTGTGATTAGTTATTATGTTTCTACAGCTTCTCCAAAAAGCTGAGCAGGAAAGATAGTTCTTACATTTGCCTATTTGCTCTAGGCACTTCCTCCTGGAGAGCTTAGCATTGAACTCTGTACTTACTAAGTTGCTTTCCTTGGGTGAGATAAAAGTGATCCAATTTCTGTCTTCCATAATCTTACTCACATTTTCTCATAGAAATAAAGACAGCCATTTTCAGAGGATCAGTTTTTCTGAACAAACATGTTTATCAGGAAGTTCAAAGCATTTAGTAATGTATGTATTTTTTAAATCAAACCTTTCTCTCTTCAAAGAGCACATGGCAATGAAACACCAGAGAGAAACCTTCCAAAATTCTGACCATAACTGTAGCTGTCTCTAGAAAATAAACTCTTTTGTCTCCTTACATCACTTTCTTCACTCTTCTCTGAGCAGGTGTTCCTACTTATGGGCCTACCTCTAGCTTGGAAATTGATGAATGAATCCCTGTCCTAATTGGAAATGTGTAGACCCTCCAGCTCAGTGATTTTTTAAACAGCAGTGCACATCAGAACTACCTGAAATGTGTTTTAAAACACAGATGCCTGGGCACTGACCCCAGAGTTTCTGATTCATTGGGTCTGAAATGAGCTTGAGAACTGGCATTTTCGTCAAGTTCCCAGGTGATACTGTTGGTATGGGACACTACTATAAGAGCCATTGATCTCTAGACAGTTATTCTAAACCTAGGCTGCACATCAGAAAAACCAGGGAAGCTTTAAAAAATCTTAATGTCCATGTTGTGCATCAGGACAATTATATCAGACACTCAGTGGATGGAACTCACATATCAATATATTAGTATTTTTTTAAAGCATCCCAGATGACTCCCATGTGTAGCCAAGGTTGAGAATGACTACAGCCTAGGGCTGATTTAGTCTAAGCCATTTCATTTTATAGGTGTAGAAACAGGGTTCAGTGAGGGGAAGTAACTTGTCAAGTTCACTCAGCTAGGAAGTGGCAGATACAAGAAACCCAGACCTTCAATTTCTGGGCCTACAATGTAGTGCTGGCCTCATTCCCAAGTCTTGGCTACTGACAAGTAGCTTGCAAATTTCATATATTCTCTATGCAATATGGATTTAATGTCTTATTTTGTCTATGTATTAACATTCTTAATACTCCCAGCCTAAGACCCTTCTCTCACAAAAGAAAACAGGGACAGTGGCCTGGCTATGATCCATTCAAATATCTTTTCCTCCCAGAGACTGGATGGTGGTAGGATCTTTGTTTGCTTGTCTTCTCAGTCTATGATAAAAGGCTTTTCAACATTTTGGCCACAGAATCCATTGGTCAAGAAAAAATCCTATATAATAAAAGGGTAATATGCAAATCGACTGAACAGTGGAACAACCTGTCACTATGACACCCACCGACTACCAGGGGGCAGACACTCAATGCAGGAGCTGCTCTCTGGTGGTTAGTGCACTTCCACAGGGGGAGCCCTGCTCATTCAGAAGCTGGGCTCACCGCTGGCAAGCACAACAGCGGTGGTGGGAGCCTCTTCCGCCTCTGTGGCAGTGGTAAGGACCCATCAGTGGACATCTCCTGAGGGGTCCCGGACTGCGAGAGGGACCCCCCCCCCGACATACACACACACACACACACACACACACACAGTGCACAAATGTAGTGCACTGGGCTTCTAGTTTTATATAAAAATCCATATATGAAAAACGGGATCAGAATGGAGCTGCCTCAGATAAGTGGGGGTAAAGTTATAGAGTTTCGCCTACCTGGCTCCCCCCTTCCTCTGATTTACTGCACACAGCCCAAGTTATGCAGGAAAGGGACTGGTCAACTCCTGAAGCGTTGAGTGGCCTGGGTTTATATTTCTGATGTGTCATGAATGGATTCTGACTTTTAGACAAGAATTTAACTTTCCTTGGCCTCTGTTTCCTTATGTAAGTAGTAGATCAAGCCAAAGCTTTCTGAGTCAAGCTGATGATTAAAACTTCCTTGACATCTTTAAGAATACCTGATTATGGCCCTTACACTGAGAGATTCTGATTCTATGTCTTTAACAGGTTTTCTGTTGAATTTGATGGTCAGACAGTAAACTGAGTGATTTCTGACTCTCTTCCCATCCCCTACTGCTGGTTAAAGGGTTTTCAGAAAGCTAACATGGCACCCCATGCCTACTGAAACCTGCATGTCATGCGATCAGTTAAATTCTGGGACATTAATCAAATATGCCAACATCACTGGTTTCCAGTGACTCTACTGGAAAGACTGGACTACCATGGAGGGAAATTTCCTATGATCCCATGACAATTCTTCCATCACACAACCTCGGCTCCCTGTGATGCAGCCTGACTACCAGGCCCACTGGTCAAATCTCTACAACATGATATTTCTGTGATGAATCATCATGGGTATTTTTCCTGTCTTTCTTCCTATAGTCACATAATTTCTGCAGCAGCTAATATAATTTGGTATTGAAATTAATACTTTTCAGGGGAAAAACACACACACAACTGGAATTGGAGAATTATGAAATAATCCTAAAATAAGTATTTTGTTGAATGATTTTATGCCAGGCACTTTACCAAAAATATTTGAAATTTAATATATTAATGTAGAATTTTTCAAAACCTTACTTGTCTTCTTTATGAAAAGCAATTGGCAAAATGTATCAAAATACTCTTTACTTTGATTTACACATTCCACCTCTGTGATCTTATACTATAGATATTCTTGCATATATATGAAAATGACATGTATAAAATGTTCTTTGCAGTCTTATCTGTGAATAGCAAAAATTTAGAAGCAATCCAAATATATATCAATAGGAGACTAGTTACATATATCATGGGAAACATCTATACAATTAAATATGTTGAATATATTAAAAAATGAGGATACTCATATTAACTTGGAAAGATTTCAACATAGATTATTAAGAGAAAGAAAATATTGTTCAGAAGAGAGGGTAAATATGCCACCTTTCATGTAAAAAGGAGAAGAAGGAGTAAGAATAAATATTTGTGTTTGCTTATGTATGCCTAAAGTAACTCTAAAAGAATATATAGAAATGTTAGCAATGGTTCCTTAAGGATGGGGAAGGAATCCAATGGGTGGAGACAGTGGATAGAGATGATGTTTTACTGTACACTTTTTCAAAAGTTAAATGGTAAAAATAAAGTACCCTTGTTACCAAATGGTTTGGAAGTCTCTACAGTCCTGTCAATATGCTCACTGTCTGTGATGTTATTCCTTCAGTAGAAACACTGGCCATGCCCTGTCAGAACAGTTATACATGTTTTCCAATGAAGTATTTTACTCTCTTCCATTTGTTATTATCTATCTATCTATCTATCTATCTATCTATCTATCTATCTATATAAAAGCCTAAGCAACTGTTAAGCTGGAACAACCAGTCGACCAGTCGCTATGATGCTCACTGACCACCACAAGGCAGATGCTTAATGCAGGAGCTGCCCCCTGATGGTCAGTGAGCTCCCACAGCAGGAGCTCCACTCAGCCAGAAGCGGGCTCATGGCTGGCAAGCACAGCTGCGGCAGCAAGAGCCTCTCTCGACTCTGTGGCAGCAATACTGAGTGGCAGCAGCAGACACAGCAATCTATGATGTGCGCAAGCGAGCAGCGTGGCATCTGGCCCTGGTTCTGGCTCCTCCATGGCTGCCTGCCACTTGGCGCACTACTACATCCCTCTCACAATCTGGGACCCCTTGGGGGCTTAAACCAGCAATTGGACATCCCCCAAGGGGTCCTGGATTGCGAGAGGGCACAGGGTGGGCTGAGAGACAACCCCCCCCTGTGCATTAATTTTATGCACCGGGCCTCTAGTTGGTATTATAATAAACTTCAGCCATTTAGTGTTGGAAATGAAATAAAAATGTGTGAAAACTGTGACTTGTGTTGAGGATATGGTATAAATCTCAGCCTTTACACTTGCTGTGAGACCTGTGTCAAGTCATTTTGTCATTCTATATATTAGTTTACTCATTTGTTGGGTGGATAATCTATATATATAAAAGCCTAAGCAACCTTTATGCTGAACAACCGGAATGACCAGAAAGACCAGTCTCCCAGTCACTATGACGTGCACTGACTACCAGGGGGCAAATGCTCAATGCAGGAGCTGTCCCCTGGTGGTCAGTGTGCTCACACAGGAAGTGCACCACTCAGCCAGAAGCTGGGCTCACTGCTGGTGAGCGCAGCTGCAATGGCGGGAGCCACTCCTGCAGCAGGCGTAGCAAGCTGGGATGAGCACCAGCGGCACAGTGCCCCACCTTGGCTCAGGCTCCACAGTGCCCCACCTTGGCTCAGGCTCCTCCCTGGCCGCCAGCCACTTGGTGCACTGCTACATCCCCTGAGGCTCCCAGATTGCAAGAGGGAGCAGGCCAGGCTGAGGGCCCCCGTGCACAAATTCGTGCACCAGGCCTCTAGTATTAGTTATAATGGAGCTATTGAGAAAGGCCAAGAACATTTGGTAACACTGAATAATAAAAGACTTTATTATCATTCTTACTGATAATATAAGTCAACAGTTCTCAGCCTGTGGGTCATGACCCTTTTGGGGGTTGAATGACCTTTTCACAGGGGTCACCTAACACCATCAGAAAACACATATTTTCAATGGTCTTAAGAACCGAGACATGGCTCCTCTATCCGTCTCAAGGAGGGTCCACCCACATGCAAATACACTTACATATGAGTACCCGGCATGATGACATCATCGTGCCAACCCCATCATATACACCTCATACAAATACAGGTGTATGTGACAGGGTTGGCACCATAATGTACTTATGCGGACCAGTCACACATGTGTAGAGAGCAGCTACTGTGTAGAAAGCAGCTGCTGTGTTGAAAACAGCAGTATTGGAGGTAAAACGACACTTCATGAATTATAATTACTGGGTAAATGTAAAATCATGTA